GAAATTGCCATTTTTTTAATGTCAAAGTATTTTTTTACCACTGTTTTTTACATTTTTATTCCTATTCTTCTTTATGACCGCCATAAGAACCTCATATGCACGCCACAGGACCTCTTTATGACTTCCATCAGACCTTCGAATGACTCTAAATGACTCCGACCCTCATGAACCTCAATTTAAAATTATTTTTCTCTATTGTTTGTCTCATTTTTCACTCCATTTCTACTGTTTGTGTTCACGACCTTCTTATTCTCCCTCATGACCCCCATAAAACCTTCATGCACGCCATAGGACCTCTTTATGACTTCCGTAAGACCTTCGCATGACTCTAAATGACTCCGACCCTCATGAACCTCAATTTAAAATTATTTTTCTCCATTGTTTGTCTCATTTTTCACTCCACTTCTACTGTTCGTGTTCACGATCTTCGTATTCTCCCTCATGACCTCCATAAAACCCTCATGCACGCCATAGAACCTTATTGTGAGTTCCCTAAGACCTCCATGACCCTCATGACCCTCATGCCCAAATGTCGCCTAAATTTCGCGCACCTATTTTTTTATCAGGAAAGAAACAGAGATTTTTTATTTAAAAAATCCTTAAAATCATCTCAGCTAAAGCATAATGAATCAATGAATTCACAATGGAATTCACAATATCGTGAAAATGGGGATAAAATCGAGGGGATTGAAAAGTTTTATGATAAAAGTTCACAAGAGCGATTGAGCGTTAAAACGTGAGTTTGCGAATATATAACTGGGATCAGATGGATTCGCTGTGTACATGAGGGGGGGATCATGTTGACCCGTTTTGTGTCGTGAAAAAATAGGGGAGGAACGGCTAGATTGTCGGCTACAAAGTTTGTTGACACGACTCTGTGAAAAATTCGAAATTCAATTCCAATCGTTCAACTATGTTTTTGTTTGTAAAACTTTCAGTTGATAATTGCTTTTCGGTTGTGTGTGAGATGTTTGTGTCGGATGATTTGACGGGGTGTATTGTCAGAGCGATAAAATTTATGAGCTCAAGTGACTCCGGTGGTAATGGAATACGAACGTGCGGAAACACACCTCGGTGAAGAGCCCCACCTGGGGGTTTGCGCGGTAATGCTGATAATACTGGAGGACTTTTACCCGGAACAGGTCGACGGTGGCATAATAGGGGGGTGGAATTGTTTATGCGCTGAAAGGGCAACATGAGAATATTTTATGGGGAAAATTCCTCATTTTCGGATGAAAATATTTTCGCAGAAATTAACCGTTGAAAATTAATTTCATTCAACTCAATTCTTTTAAAATCAAAAGTGTAGGTTTAATTATTAAAAGAATTTAGTTAAATTTAGTTGCAATAATTTTAATATCAATTACATTCGTCTAATTTAATTAAAGTTGAGGGAAATTTCATTTTTATAATGTCATCGGTTTCTGGAAAATTTACGGAGATTTAGAAAAAATTATTTTTCGGGTGAGATATTTATTGTTTATTAATTATTCATAAAATATTCATCTTTCGAAAATTGGGATATGACAATTATAAACGTATTTTTTCAGATTTTTTGAGAATTTTCGAAGCTTAAGTAACAAAATTATGGCAAAATATTCGGAAATCTGGGATTAAATATAACAAATCCATCGCAAATTACACAAATACGAGACTTATAGGTACACAAACGCGATCATGCGGGTATATTTAATCCTCTTTTGATATTCGCCGCCCGCACCAACGCCCGATTAGAATCAAAAGAAGACTGAATCAATAATTCCCGAGAGAAGTCCGATTTAAATTTTAATACTTCACACTGATGAAAAAAAAAAGGAAATTACGTGGACATTTTAATAGCAATTTTCGAGAGAGCGAAATGGAATTCAATTTGGAGTAGAAGAAATCATGGAATTTCGAATTTTTCAACCGCAGAAAAATCACATTCCCTCTAATTACCTGAATAAAGAATAAAAACATTCATATTCAGGATCAAATTACTCTGAATTTCTCACTCAATTGAAAACGGAGGAATAGACCAATAAAATTTTGAGTTTTCTCAATTTTTTTCTCGAAATCTTGAATTTCCAGTTACGAAATTTCTGGAAATTTCACAAACAAAAACTTTTGACTGAAATTTTGACTGTGAAAGTCCTCCTCCCCCTCCCAACGCCCCCCCCCCCCCCC